ATTGTTTTTCCGTCATGACTCTCCCACTCTTTGATTTTCTGTCTCTCGTAGAGCTAGCATTTTTTTCGTTTGTTTTACTGGCTTGTAACAGGTTGACAGCCTACAGATGTTCTTTTCATTTTTGTCTTTTGTTTAGTTTGATTTTAGTTTTTCTCAGTGATGATTATCCTAGCTCTCAAACTAATTTTGATTAAAACTATTTTCAATCCAATTTTTGATTTTTTCATTGTTCATCTCTTTCTAGGTCATTAGCTGTATTATTTAAGTAATTACATTTCTGTTTTTAATAACAAGTTTTTCAGTTTTGTGAGTAATTGTAATTTAGTATAATTTTCTGAAATTTTTAGCTGTAATTTTATGATAACTCTCGCCCATCAGGAGTTTTAAATGTCTAACTTTTTGCTTTAGAAGGACAAATCATTTTTCTAAAATTAGTCTATTTGTAATTTTTCCGTCATGACTACTGACTAATTCTCCCACCTCTGGCTAATTTCATTTAAAATTAGTTTCTATCTGAGTTTTGAATTGTTCAAATGATTCAATGCGTTTCTGGTGGTGATTTATTCAGTTCTGTTTAAGTTTCTCAGTTCTATGTTTTATGTTTTCATCATTATCTTTTTTCAGTTTTTGAGTAACTTTAATTAATATAATTCCATCTGATTTTTTCTTCTTTGTGGTTCGATGATATGATCACTTGTTTGCTATTTTTCAAGCTAACTATCCCCAGTCTTTGATTGAATTTGAATAAATTTAGTTTTCTTCTGAGCGTTTAAAATGATGGTTTGTTACAAACGCGTGTTTGCACATTCTTTTCTTTGTTTAATAATTGTTCCGGCCATTGAAAACGTGAAGGAACTTTGTATTCGGTTGTGTTTTAGGTTTTATAGTTCACGCACAATCAGGTACCCTAAATAATCATCGAACTGGGTTGATTGATATATCATATTAAAGCCATTTCGCTTCGAAACACATTGAAAAATTCTCAAAATTTACTTCTTGTGTCGAGAAAAACCGATTTGAAAATTTTTGTACTATTTTAAGCCGTTTACAGTAGCTCTTTCATAATTAATTACAATTTACTCGAGTGAATAAAGTTTTTGAGATTTTTAAAGCCATTTCGGGAATCAAAAACCTCAAAGTTTAAAACATTGATTTTTTTAAAATGTTTGTATATCTATTTTTTGTTGTTTTTTTAGTCATTTATATCAAAAAGTGTTGTCCAGTTTGCCTATTTTACTATGATCGTCGAAGATGGCTAAATTATAGTTTTATGTCAGATTCTTTTATCACACCAGGCACTACACTAATTCGAAATAATTTTTTTTCTTGTAGTTTTTTGAAGACTATGGCCGGAACATTCTGTGCTACTTGCACAGTAACCGGCTAGCCTTATTTTAAAGTAGGTTCTGCTTGTAAGTAAGAATTTGATGAACTTGTTGATTCTTTTTGCAGCTCTTTTTTTGCGCACTAAAACTTAAGAAAAGCAAATCTAGCTGAAACGATTGCTCGTGAGTTGTTTGATTTCGTTAGAATTTTTTGAGCTGATTGTTTGAGAACCTCACGTTTCACGAAAATAGGGGACCGCTCATCTATATCTATCTATCTATACATACTATATTTAAATGCGAGTGACAGCTATCTCCCATGTTTAAGTATAATAATTTTGCATGTTTAACGAAATGATTTTTTCATGTTTAAGCTATATCATATGTTGCAATGCTTTAAAAAAATTTTCAATTACTTTTCCGCAAGGTCATTAATTTTTCAATAATTTTTTTTCGAGGCTAAATTAAGTCTGTCTGTTTGTCTGTATACCTGTTTTTTTAAATTAATTTGATTATGTCTATCTACCCATCTCCTAATTTTTAAACTTTCATCTATTATCTATCTATTATATATTTAAATGCGAACTTCACTATCTCGCCATGTTTAAGCCTTTTCAACGTAATATTTTCGCAGGTTTAACAAAAAAATTTTTTTTCACGTTTAAGCTATATCGTATATTGCAATGGTGAAGGTTTTTTCGATTTTTCAGTTAGTATTTAGTGTGTATTTCATCAAGTTGAAATTAGCAACCCAATAGTGGAATGTTGTCAGAGTTGTCCCAGGTTTTGAGATTCTGGCCTCCATATATGAATAACCAAATCATTTTAGTTTACGAGATAGGCAATTTTCGAGATTTTTCAAAATTTTCTAGATAATTTAATTTGAAAAAATTTAATTTTTTTGAAATTCTCGCCCTGTATTTGCGAATCTTGCCTCGAAATCTCACTCCTCAAATCCTTGTCGTTTTCGAGATCTGAGGTTTTTCTTATGATTTTTTCAAACAATTTTTAATAACTTAGATTTTAAAAAATTACGAAACGTTGAGGATTTCAATCCTGTTGTTAGATATTGTGAGGGTACTCTCAGGGGTAGCGGACCTTGCCTCTGATTATGACTGCTCAAATCTTTGTAATTTTCGAGGTATGACGTTTAGGATTTTCTCAAAATTTTTCAGAGAACTTAGATATAAAAAGAAATTTGAATTTATCATCTCTGTAGTGAGGGTCTGTCAGGGTACTCTCAGGAGTTGCGAATAAGGCCTCCTAATATGACTGCTTTAAACCTTGCAGTTTTCCAGAGATGACGTTTTTTGTGATTTTTTTCAAAAAAATTTTCATGAAAATTAAATTAATTTTTTTTTCAAAGTTTGAAATTCCTAACCTGTAGTTGGGGGCTGTCAGAGTAATCTCGGGGGTTGCATTTTCGGCCTCCAATTAAGAATGCCCAAATCTTTTCAATTTAAGAGTTACGACGATTTTTGTGATATTTTTGGAATTTTTCAGAAAACTCAAATTACTGAATAATTCCTTAAAGTGAAATTCCCAACCCTGTAGTTGTGTGCTGTCAGATACTTTCAAAAGTTGCAAATTTTGCCATCAAGTAAGACTGCTCAAATCTTGGTAGTTTTCGAGATGTGAAATTTTTACTGGTTTTAAAAAAATTCCTTTTTTTAGAAAACTTAAGTTGAAGTTTCTCAAAATTTGAATTTCTCAAGGTTGTAGTTGGGTACTGTAAGAGCACTCCCAGGAGTTACAAATCTTGCATCCAAATGCGACTGCTCAATTGCTTTTTTTTCCCAGATGTGACGTTTTAAATTTTTCTTTTCAAATTTTTCGAAGATCTTATAAAAAGCTTTACAAAATTTTATGGTTCTTCAAAATTTGTGAAAAAAAAGACTTGAGTAAAAAAACTTTGCAAAATTTGTAACTACGAACCCTGTTTTTGGGTGCTGTGAGATTACACTCAAAAAATTCAGGTCTTATTTCCAATTTATGCGGTTTATTATGAGTCCCGGAGGTGCGTTACACGCTAGTTACTATTAGGGCTGAAGATCAACAAACGAACACTAGATGATGAGCTTGTTTAAAATTGGTTTGTTTCAAGATGATTCTTGAATACGTAGTTTTTTTTCAAAAAAATGTGAACAGACCAGTTGATTTCACTGGAGGCTATCTGTTCACATGTTATTGAAAATGATTAGTATTTCAGGATGTTCTTGAAACAAGCCGATTTTTTAAGCTTGTAATGTGATTTTGCTTTCTTCAGCAATCATATGAAATTAGATTTCTACACTTTTTTAGAATTGTAGAAATCTCAGCGCAAACTCAGGGTTTTAATCTCTAAAATTCCCGTTTTCAAGTCCATTTTGGACAAAATTTCTTTCGAATTTCGGTAAATTTTTTACATTAACCAAAACCAAATGATCGGAGCGACACTATGAAACTATCAATATTTCGTATCAAATACTTAACAGTTTTTTCCGGGTCCGCAAATTCCAGTTTTCCTCATCTGAACTAAGTTTCGCATCGTAGTGAATGCTTTCTCGAATAAGCGGAGTAAAAAAATTGTTCATGCAACGTGAAACATTCTCAGCGAGAAAATGGTAACAATCAGTGTAAAAACTTTTCATGCAACGTGAAACATTCTCAGCGAGAAAATGGTAACAATCAGTGTAAGAACGTTTCTCAGTTTTCACGCAAAAAAAATCTTGGTGCAAATGAGGATTACTGGAATTTGCGGACCCGGAAAAAACTGGTAAATCCTTGAAGCCAAATTTTGAAAGTTTCATAGAGGGTAGCTCTGATCATTTGCTCTTGGTCTATGCAAAATCTTTACTGGAATTCGGATAATGTTTTTAATGTCTTTAAGGAAATGTTGTCCAAAATGGACATTGAAAATAGGCATTTTAGAGAGTAAACTTCTGATTTTGCGCTTAACTTTGTCCACTAGTGTATTTTCCTGCAAGACCAGAGCCGTATCTCAAACAATCAGCTTCAGTTAATCGCAGTTTCTCCAACTATAATAGTGATTCATGATTCCCAGTGCCGCCGTGCACAGGAATTTTCCGACTGGTGGGGTGCGTTTTTAAGTTGCACCATTTGAATAGCTCGTGCTCTGCTGAATAACCATGTTTTGCGGTGCTCACATTTTGTAGGAAGAAAATAGCCGTTTTGTACAGTTTATGAAATTAGACGGAAAATAGCGTGAATTCTGCGGGCACTAACTCAAATTTAGTTCTTATTGTCATCGAAAACGCATTTTGAAAAAATAATTACGATTGTTCATCTAGAAATGGCTGTCGTAAAATATTACCTAAGAAAATTAATTTGTTATCTTTTCTCGTAAAGAAGCTTTGAATGATCTTCAATTACCTCATCACTCTTTATAAAAAAAACTTTATTTAAAATCAACTTTGCAGTCTTTTTGGTAGAATGATAGATAACAAACCCCAATGTATTTCCAGTTTCTGTGTGCGCTTACGTTTTAAAAATTTTTGATTATTTTTAGATATCACCTCGCAAGTAAGTGATATAACTATTCAAGCTTACACGTGGAGGCTTTGGGCTTTTCGTTCGTCTAACTCATGAAAGTCTATACATACTTAATTCTTCCAAGCTGTAAAATCCTCTTTCATAATTGAATTCATTCGGAAGTCTCTCTCTCTGCTATTTTAGCTATCTCTCTTTTCTGGGAATTGGGAAAGATGCCTGTAAATTTGGCTACATTGTGAGCACTTGTCGCAACCAGTTCATATGCCACGTACTGCATTGTCCGGACTCGGCTGGACCCCTGGCTAAATCTGTCGAATCTGCTTGCAAGGTAAAAAGTATTTCAAATCTCATTTGTTCAGCCCATTTATTGCCTTAACAAGACGAAATAGTTCCTTTGTTGGTTCGATCAGTTGCTAACCGAGACTATCTACCATAATGTGAAATAATAGAGCCGCATTACAGCTTTGAATCTTGGATTCATACCCGGGGTCTCCTTGGGTTGACGCCAAATTATTGTTTTAAATGTTTTTTGTATCCGTCTTATAGTTCATCTTTTTTTTTCTAGCTCGTGATTATGGTTAAAGGACAATCTGAAGAAAGGCGTTCTAAGCTAACAGGCATACATACCGATTTAACCCATTAAAATCGTGCTTTTGAAGTCAGTAGGTCTGAGATTTGTTTTTGAAGTGGTGAAATCCGTCTTGACATCCGCAATGGAGGTGTTTGAACGGTAGCTCATCGATCTCTCCTGTAGAACTTCAAAACATGCAATCAAGCAAGCAAAGCGTTGAATCTGATAATGCTAATTGGTGAAAATAGGGAATACAATTACAGAAACTTGTCTATAAGTCGATCGTTGGTAATGGAAAAACTTCGCTTTATGCTTAAACAGGTTCCTTTATTTTTAGACTGTTTTATTCCTTTTATGGATGCCATCATTTAGAATGATTCAATGTGCTTTCTCCATTTTTTGTGGAGGTAATTCTTGTTGGGTGCTTACTTTCTTAACAATTCTTCTTCGTGTCTTTGATTTTCCGCCCATTCATGCCTAGTGGTATTTTCAGCTTTCATAAAAGAAGACTAGGTGAAACGAAAACATCTCTCGTACGTACGCGAAAATAAGACATGACGTCTTTGAATTTAATCGCCTACGCGCAGAGGGTAACTTCCATTTGAATGCAAACGTAAGGTATCCTTATGTCTAAATTATCAAAGTACATGTAATTTTTTTTACGCTTGCGATCAGCAAGCGTTATCAAACTATAAGACTTTTTGTCGGGTGAACAACTTGTTTAACAGAATCATTTGAATCACTTGTATCAATTTTTTTTTTTGCGTTCCCAGCCACTCTAGCCTGGAGGTAACGATTATGTCTTGGACGGCAAAGATCCGGGGTTGAATCTCAGTAGGACCCGCTAATTTTTAATCCCAATTAATGCGGCCTGTTTTTCATCGGTCTAATGACGTAATTTTGGGTATTTTCAAAGCAAACCCAATTTTAACACTTCCCTCCGCACTTTTCAAGTTGGTTGTATGCTTACCAATCGGTTTGTTGAAATTAATTTTTTCGTTTTGAAAAATGTTTTCACGTTTTGCGTTTTTTTTTTGTTTTTTTTTAACACACTTCTACTGAGTTTGAAAAAAATGAATCAATTGAAAGACTGTCCACTTCCCTGTCTACCTGAATACTCCCCTAGAACTTTTTTGTACTTGACCCCTCTGTTTACCGCCTTCGAAAAAGTGTGGGAGATTATTTGACCAATATTTTTGATTTGTTTTTAGTTTTCTCGATAACTACTCCTCTCAAATCTGAGTTGGGCTTAAATAATAAGCTCTGTTTAGAAAAGCTCCCCTGCATAAGCGGCTACGCACAATTTTTTCCTACACGAAAAGTTATGGCCCTCGGAATAGTCCTTTTTTGACTTTTGCGACGGTTTTGTGATTCATTTTGACTTTTCTCGAAAACTAATATCTACAATCCGATATTGTGGGTTCAAAGGAGTTAACGGGCACTGGGAATCTCTCCTGCATAAGCGGCCCCTCGCAGCTTTTTTGTACACAAAAGTTATCGCCCTCGGAAAAGTCAAATTTTTGATTTCTTCACCTTTTAAAACTTTTTGAATATTCTCGAAAACTTCCCTACCTATCTGAGATTTTGGGTTCAATTCAAAGAAGGGGTTGTGGTAAGCTCATTTGGTTATGCGACTGCACCCCAATTTGTCTGAAACTGTTTTTCATGGCCCTCGGGAATTTTGATTGTTTAACCGTTTTTTTTTGAAAGTTTTTTTTATTGAAAACTACCCTCTTAAATCTGACATTTTGGGTTCAATCGAAATTATAGATTGCTTAAATTCCTTCTGCGTGAGCAGCTTTGCTCCGTTTTTTTTACGCAAGAAACTATATTTATCGGAACTGACATTTTTAAAATTTGTGAATGCAAAGAGCAGCTGCACGTCTGTAAAAACTTTCAATCAGTTGAATTTTAGGTGTTCAGTCAACGGGTTCGTTCCTAGTTGCTCGTTTTGTAAAATACCCTTTAACAGGTTGTGGTTACTTGCCTATAACGAATGTCGCGCAGTTTTTAATGGAGGGGGTTGAAAACAAGCTTTTGTTTGTTCTGCTGTGTTATTGTGAAGGGACTAAAAATTAGTAACCGTTGTTTTCGTTGAAAAAATTGAATTCGTAGAATCAATAGGGGTCATCATTTCTTGCATCTGCTCGTGTATTACATTTTCAATGGTTCATACGTATAAACAAAAGAAAGCCCAATAATTTGAAAGCACTGTCAGTTTTGATAAAAATGAATTGATTCAGGTCCGATATCAGAAAGTGCTTGAAGCAAAGAAGCGTCAGCTACTCGCGGCTCCTAAACATACTAGACAGCCAACCATTCCTGGCATGATGAGTGCTATCTCCAAGACAATCCAAGAAGCAGTCTCTACTTCGAGACAATCAACAATAACAGCTGAAGATGCCGATGATGGTCCTCCGAGGACCAAAGATACCATTGCCGATGATAGTAGAAAGGTCCAAGATTCAAACAACGACGCACAGCAAGCGCAGCAGATAGGTCAAGGGTCATTGAGAAATAGTTTTTCGTCCCTTTTCGGACGCCTGTCGCGATACACATCTTCAGCTCGGACGCCGAGGGGTTCAGGAGGAGTGAAACAGAGGCCTAAAAGCCAGCTTATAACCTCGACTATTGCCGGATCTTTTGAGTATTCCGATGATTGAGCACATCTCTTCAATCGCAGATATAATTTTATTATTATAAGTGCAAATGTAATTTGTAAAATATTTATGCTTTGAATTAATAGAATAATTTATTATCTCTGTTTAGAGCTATTCATCTGAATATAGAAGTCCTATTTAATTGAATAGTAAGCTATAGGTTTCCATTCCATTGGATGACGTTTGCTTCTCAAATAACTACTTCAGCAGGGTTGCCTTATAAATTGAAATATAAATCTGACCACTTAGCGCATTTATCAGCCTGTTTTTTTTTTCTATAAATAGGAATAGGTTACACCTGTTTAGCTTAAGTTTTTTTGGATCTATACTATCTAGTTTTCCATGAAGCCTCCAGAAGTGAAACAAGCACCATGGTATGGTTAAAGCGGGATTCTAGATAAACTGCATCGATTGAGACAACATCATTTTCCAATTAATAGTTATTGTTGTTATTATTATGAACTCGCACCAGGGCGCTGGGAATGATCTCATTTTAAAGTTTACTGCGAATCATCACAGCAGTCACTCTAAAACCATTCATCTCACCAATAATATAGTCCATCGGTTACATGTCAATTTGCCCCAAGTCAACTTGTCCCAGCCCAACTTGTCCGATTCCAACTTGCCCCAGATGACAACTTGTGCAATGCCATCTTGTCCCAGATGATGAAAAAATTGAAACTTGGGCTCTTTTTCCTTTTCCCCCCATCTCACACAGGCATCAATTTTGTGGTGTAGGGGGTGGTTTTACAAGATTGATTATGAAGATCAAATATGTTTGCCATGGCCTAAGTAGTCTGCATGTCAATTTTTATAGCAATTGGACAACGTGAACAGTAATTTGAATTATAAAACTTTGCAGGTGGGGGGAAAAGAAAAAGAGCCAAAACTTGACCCAGATTTTTTGATATCCTCGTAGAACATAATTTCGGCATCAGGATGAAAGATTTTTTTTGTTGAACAATTAAGCTTGAAACAAAATGCGGAATCATTAAAACGAGCTGAATCAAAATGAGTTCAAAGCATGCATGAACAAAATGAAAGCGGCAAAACTTCAATGCAATTTTCATGTCGTTAAACATTTCGAAAGATTGATTGCTGATCTTGTAAGCTCCCATAGCATAGTTAATAGTGCACAACACTCTTAATCAAGAAGTCCAGAGTTCAAAACTTGAAGAAGTCGAAAAATTTTAGCACAAAATTGATGAAATTGAAAACCGCAGGTACTGCCTCGCCCCTAAAAGAGTTAAATGAGCTAGTGCATATAAATAGTCAACAACATGGTCTTTGTTGAAATTACTAGAAATGTTTTGGGTTTTTGCATGAATATCCCGATATTTCTTCCACCCTTGATTCTGCGTTCCCCCCATAGCCTTCAAAATGTTGAATTTCTGATTAGTTGAGTCCATTTGAATCTTATTCAGGAAAGTCTGGAGGCTTGGGTGGCTCCCTTGAATTAGTGCTGTCACTCCGAGATGCCAACCTTCAACGGCGTTTTGTCGTTCATATCAAGCCTGCTGTTTCTTGGGAATGGTTCTAGAGACTCTGGGAATAACCGTTGGCTGCTGTTTTGCCCTATTGTTTCGCCTTTTATATAACTTCTCTGAAAGTATGAGGCAAGTTCGTCAATTTTATCTGACAGGCTTTGCTCAAGATTTAACCGGTCCACCACATGCTCAATATCTTCAATGACGCTCTCGAACGATTGTTTCGCAAAATCAGTTGAAACAAAACAGAGCGGGTATTAAACGCAGAGCTAAGCTCAGCTCGCAGTTGTTTTCATAGGCTTTCTTCAAACCCAGCTCGTTAACTTTGCGTAAAAAGGCCTGGCAGAGGTGAAAGTAAGAGCCTTTGATTGAAGACTCTGGAAACGCACTTGTAAAAGCGTTTACGGCAGCTCGTTCAAAACCTAGAAGATTCCTGGATGGTTGCGCGTTATCAGAGACAGAGGCGATGGCTTTCAGGAATTTTGAATACGTCTGTTCGGTTTTGTTTGGCAGTAGAGCATAAACAGAAATCGGAATATTCCGTCGGAATTAAGAAATGTCTGTCTTTAATGATTGGCAAGGACGGGACCAAGTTCTGTTTCTGGCGGTTAAGAGTTCTGTGTACTGCTGCACGACGGGGCAAGGATAATTGAACTGCTTTCTCATCTGTTACTTCCTGGAGACAAGTGGCAATTATACTACTATTGACAGGTACAATTCGCTGCCTGGCCTCTCTTTTCATTTGATGCATGATCTGGTTTGCCTCAATTTTCCCAGGTCTAACATCGTGGCTGTGTTCATTTTTTGTTGATACGAGTTCATCTCCTGCTGTGACGGCGAGCATGCGGCATTTGTGTAAACTGTATCTTGCGCATCTCCAGTGCTCAGTAGTTTTTGTCGTTTGATTTTTTGTGAAATCGTGTCCGTCAATAATGAGCGTTCGTTTAATTCGTTGAGATATTCCCCACGTAAGTTGACTCATAGTATTTTATTTATGTTGGATTTTTAGGAACAAAATGGTAAACAATGAAGCAAAATGAAATAATAGCCTGGTTTCAGTTTGTTTCAATGGCGCTAATTGTGGATTATTGTCAAATTTTGGTGTGTTATTACCAAAAGCTATGGTTTTATAGGATCAGCTTCAATAATTTTCGGTTAGTCTTTTGTTATCTCAAAACGAGTCCTGTTTACATTAGCCCTTGCTGGTCCTCAATTTGAACATCAAAGAATCAAATAAAAGTGTTAAGTATGGGACAACACGTCATAGGACAAAATGTCTTGTGGGGCAATTTGGCATAGGACAAGTTACCATGTAGGGCAAGTTAGTATAGGACAAGTTGGCATAGGGCTAATTGACTTGGGGCAAATCGTCCTGACACCAGTCCATCAACATCAACGTTTTCCTCAAGTCAAATTTTAATGGCGAGATCTGAAGATTTTATTCTAAATAAAATGTTCCCGCTCTAATTGGGGGTGATTATTCTATAGATGCTGGTGGATAATTTTGGCGCAAATTTCATTATTTGTTCAAACATTAAATTTTAAGATCCAACTTGCTCAATGAGAATAAATATTACTTTAAAGAACTTAAAGAGCTTGAACTCGCTACAAAAAAGTTAAAATTATTCAAAAAGACAACCTTCAAATAGATTTACTCGTTCAAGTTAAGTTAACTAGCTTGTTTTATTGTGGGAAGCGAAAACGTTTCTTAGTTCCTGAAAGTTTCGTTTTTGGCCATAATCTGGGAGTCTTTTCCGATGTAGCGATATCGGAAAAGACTCGGCAGAAGGGGACCGCATACATCGAAAAGACTCGAAGACCTATCGGAAAAGACGCATGGTTGGGACTAACCTCAATTTTCCCAAAAAACCCAGAAATCACCAAAAACACCAAATTACGAATTAACCTCAAAACCTATGTTTTTGTTCACTGTTGGGTTTACACATTTAAACTGAGCTCAGAAACTCTTAGTTGATGTTTTTAGTTCCTTTGCACATAAAAACACCAATGCATTACGTATATAGTTAAACACCAAAAATGATGTGAAATTTGAATATTTTGCACAAAAAAATGGGTTCAAATATCAATTATCTTTTATAGTTATGATTCGGAAAACGCTGAAATGACTCAAGATTTAATGAGAATTAACTTGAGAAACTCAAAAACAGTTCAAAACAGTTCTTTTTCTCAGAATTAGTCCAAGATAGTCAGAATTAGTCCAAAATCAGAATTAGTCATATCAGAATTAGTCCAATATAATTGTATCTGAAAATATCATCTTTGAACCATTGCTCACATTGTGATGTAAGTTGTTTGTATAGTTCGGAGCATTATCTTCACAGAACTTAAAAACTCGAAATCTCAATTTTTTTCAAGAAATAATCTGTTGCATATTTCAGAAAGCAAAAAATTTCCCGTCTCGTTAGATTGCGTTTTTTTCTGCAATCAATATCGAAATCTGCATAATTTTGATAAAAAATAGTTCGACTTAATTTTTTACAATCTTCAGCGCGGCAAAAAAAAGTCGTTCGACTTAAATTTTTACAATCTTCAGCGCGGCAAAAATTATCTTCAAATGAAAGCACGTCTTTTATATCTGCAATCAAAAACAAAGTTTTAAAATAAAAATAAAGATACTCAAACGAATAAATATTTCAGGCATATGGGAGCTTAGAAAACCAAAATCACGAAGAAAAAAAACAAAGTTTTTTTTTGAATTTAAGTAATTTTACCTTCTTCAGCCCAGCAAATGTATTCTTAAAACCAAGGCCTGTTTTAATTGTCTGCAGCCAAATAAAAATCACAATATTGATGGTAAATACTCGAGCGAATAATTTTTTCTGGGTACATGTGAGCTTAAAAAATCTAAATCACCATAAACTTTTTTCTAGAAATAAAATAATTTTATCTTCAGCACAGCAAAAAAGTTCTCTGGATGAAAGCTTGTTTTTGATTTCTGCAATCAAAGTAAACGTCACAAGCTTGGTGATAAAAACTCAAACAAATAAATACTTCGGGTTTATGGGAGCTTAGAAAACCAAAATCTTCAAACAAAAAATTTTTTAGAAAATTTTTGCTGTGCTGAATACAATTTTTTTCATAAAACCTTCTTCGTTTGAAGATTTTGGTTTTCTAAGCTCCCACAAACCTGAAGTATTTATTTGTTTTCATGGTTACTTTATTTGTTGACAATAAAACAATAAAGAAGAATTAATTTCACTTAACAATCAGATACACTATTACATTAAACAAAAAGTATATTTTTATCACATAATAAATGAATCAACAGTTTACCCAGGATTGTTAAGTGAGGATACGCAAAGGGTTTTCTTCAAATACACTAGGAGCGTACCCCACAGATTACACAAAAGAAAAGCACATCAATGAGTTATGAATAAGTGATAAATATAATATTTATGAAACCAAATAGCAAAAAGAAAAAATTAAGTTTTTTAGAAATTAATTAACGCCTCATTCACCTCGCGAAAAAAATCCCTTAAATTCTCTAGAAATTCGGGCAGAGTAACGCCCTCTTTTTGACCATTTTTCAAAATTTCTTGAAATATGACTATGTCTTTTAGACAATAAAACAATCTTTCGACGAAAGAAAATTTTGCTGTGCTAAAAACAATTTTTTTTTCATTATGTCAAAAGATTGTTTTATTGTCTACAATTAAAATAACCGTCAAAATTTTGACTGAAAATTTTTCAACGGAT